TGTTTTGGTGGACAATGAATTGTTGAGCAAATATGGGCACACATCGTTCTTTTATGCAAGCATCTGCTGTTTGACACTTTTTGCCATGTGGCGTTTTCTCTTTATTGTCTTGCCCATACTTATTTTGATTCATGATATTCTTGTGTGAGGCAACTTTACATCTATCATAATTTCCTTATGTGGTCCTAAAAGGTTGTAAGACTTTGTCTATGGTCCCGCAAGAAAGAGAAAAGATATGTTTGTGGTCCAACAAAAAGTTAAAATTCTTTTTGTCCTCCATGTGTTCAGCTATGTCAGGCTTATGCCTTTTGCATTTTCATTTCATGTGTGTTCACAGTGGATGTGTGTTTGCACACTTATGTTAGACATATGCATGTTGCATTTCATTTAGCATTTTACTTTGTGTGTGCGCACACTTTTCTGCTATGCTAACATCACATGTCTGACTCATTTTTCACAAGTTGCGTTTTTATCTTTATTAGCTAAGATATATTTTCTCATCTATTGTACTATCATGAGGACCACCTACTGGTGTCTCAATATCATCTTGTGGTCCAAAAAAAAAACCTTTTCCCTTTTTGGTTGTGATCCCAAAAGATAGATGAAATCTTTCCATTTTTGGACCAACATATGTCAGCCCTTGTTTGCTGACTTGGCATAATTTGTTGAGCACAAAATTTGTCTATATCATCTTCATTGTTACTCATTTGAAAAGCTAACCTTTTGATATTTGTTTTGCTTATGCTATGAAAATATCAGAGAGTTTTTCTTCAAAGGTTTAACTTACATTTATGTGCCAAACCTACACCATATCTCATACTTGATTGAATGGCCACTGGAACTTGGTTTCATTGTTGATGTTGGAGTGCAGCTTTGGCTTGTGAAGCTTGGGTGGAGCTCAAGTGTTCTTTGGCTATGTTCCAAGTGTGAAAAAGATCCTTGGAGCAACAACACGTTAGAGATTCAGAGGGTGGTGCTAAGTGTAACTAGAACAGAGAGTTCTTTTTGCTATAACTTTAATCAACTCTAAGTGATATCGTGTAATGTTTGTTGACTAAGTGGATTAGCTTCGATCTGGACAAGGTCCCATGGGTGTAAGCTAAAAGTGGGTTTTAGCTGAACCATATATATGGTTGTGTTCTTTATTTACCACTTATGAATGTTGATGTTGTTTAACTTGACTTGCTTAATTAACTTGGTAAATCTCTTCCGTTGCACTTTAAAATGGGTACCTTAACATCGAATAGAGTTAACTAACTCTAACATTGTGTATTTTAAGTATTTGTATGATCCAATTCTGCTAAATGCAAACAGATTATACTTTTTTTTTTTTTAAAGGAATTGAATCCATTTGAAACTATAACCAAATCTTTAGAATTGCTTTTTTCAAGGTAGTTTTTACAAGCTTGGATTTGGTTTTAGCGGCAGCAAGTTAAAGAAAAAATTTTCAAATATGTTCATCCATGAAAAATTGATAAGATAAAAAATATAATATACAAAAACATATAGTTGCTATTTCAAAATATATATATAATTAAAGTGGTGAAAAGGTTTGGATTTATGCTATTTTGATTAAATATAAAAAACAGGTGTTAACATTAAAACATAGAGTACAAGGATGTAATTAAATTTACTCATGTTTGCAAGCATTTGGTTTCTCCTATTTGTATTTCCCATGGGAAAGTGACCCATTTCATGGTTTGTCAATAATTAATAGAAGTCCATAAAATCCTCTACTATGAAAAAAAAAAAGCAAAAGGTGGTCATCTTATTTTTTGTTTATCATTAATTGTATTGAGCTTGACATTAAATTAATTCATTTGAATTGTTATAAAACCTGCTAAACTTGTTATTATTATTGTAATACAGGGTAGATTCATTAATACAGTAAAACCTTTCTATAGTCATAATAGTGGGACTAACTAATTTTATTACTATGAGGAGGTTATAACTTAATAGAGGTGTAGTTACAAAAATTATTGTTTTGATTTCTTATTTTATATATAATTCACGTTTTAGTAGTGAATAAGAATTTCAATTCATGTTTTAGTAGTACAATTAGGATTTCAATTTATTGTTTTTAGTAATATTATGATTTCTTATTTAAGTTTCCTCATGTAGGAATATTACTTGAAACCAGAAAAGATAAGTGTCCTCGATGGAATTGCATGTAAATGCAGTCGCTGTATGGTCAATCGATGTGAAGCCACAAATAATTGCCAATTGTTTTAAGCAGTACATTAATTAGGACCCTCAGTGTCGTTAAATTGCAAGTTGCAAATGAAGTGGATGAAGAGAATCAAAGAGTCATTGCAAAATTGAGTGGTCATATTTGACAACTTCAATACAATAATCAAAATTGAGTTGTCTTTCTTAATCATCCAAATGAGTAACAAGTTGTATATGATTTAACTGAAGAAGAAATCAGTGTTATAATTGTTAGAGTAGGTACCCTAGAGCCAATCCAATTGTGTAAATTGACTCTTTGTAATCATGTTTTATTATCACTAAAAAGGCATTTATCTATACCATATGATTTGATTATATTCGTATAAGAAAATGGTATATGTCCTTAGGATTGTAGAACTTTGATGAGGGCATTGAGCATTTGAAATCGTGATAGTGAAAACCCTATAAGCACATATAGAGGCAATTCCAGAAACGTCTATAGTCACAGTATTATCCTAACCTAGGACACAGATAATACGGTGAGACTATCATAGTGCTGGATGACCCTGTCGAAAGGCAGTGACAGATCTCACTTGTCAAGGTTGTTTGATGAGAACTTATTGCAACACATGGGTGCTTGCTATAGGCAAGTTCACTGGACTGACCCACTAGAGGATTCTATATGGATGGCAACCCTAATGTCTATAGAATAAATCCTCTAACAAATGGTGGTGCATGTGATCCTTAGACTTGAGATCACCAAAGTGCTTTATGCACCAATTGATGTAATTTGACACTAGCCCAACGTAGTTCTATTCAGAGCTATTAATACGGTAGTGATTGGCTACATCGAGGAGTGTATCAAGAGTATGGTGGATCGATAGAGGATTCATCACTCCTGGGTACTGGAGAAATTATCTCATTGAATAATTTTGTAGATGTCAAAGACATTAAATCTGTACAGTGGGATTGAACTCAATCTAATCTATTTCGGTCATTGGTCCAATAACCAAATACCGAGATATCAAGGATATTTAAGGTTGACACTACTTCTATGCCTTAGCCTTGATGAGATAATAGATGATGAAGGGATTGAATTATATGGTAACCAGATTGTTGATAGGTAGGTGGCCATGATGCTTGGCTAGAGACCAATCTTGGTCTGTGTCTAGTAGGATGATTGATTGATTATCAATCGCGATACGATTCACTAGATATGATGAGGAGCCTTCGGGTTGCACACATAGAAAACAGATTAATAATAAAATTCATGAGAAGGGTATTTTTGTCATTAATGATGAAAAGGCATTTTGGTAATTAAATTTACTAAGGTTGTTGCCTAAATTTAATTTCATATGGAAATTAAATTAGTGAGATTATATATATTTAAATATTTAGTTTATAATTCCAATTTGGAATAGGGTTTTATTGTGCACTATTTAAGTGCAACTAAAATTAAAATGAAAGAATTAATTCAATTAAAAAAAACCCTAGCCATCCTCTCTCTCCCTCTCCCAAAAACGTGAACCTCTTTGTGAGAGAAAGAATTTTTCTTAGAAAGAAAAATTATGCAGAAAATTATTCTTGAAGTTGAGAGTTTTTCCTAGCTTAAAATCTCTCAACGACAACTGTCCTGTCTTCGTATGGATAACGCGAGTGCATGTAATACCCAAGATATCAAAGGTATGTTCCTAACTCAAAATAGTCCTTTAGATGTTAATTTTATGTTAAAAAGCATAAAATCTAACTAAGGGCAAAATAGTCAATTCATTTGGAACGGTATGAATCAATTATCCATAGAGAGGCTTAGGGGNAAGGCTTCAATTTCTTCGGTGGATGGAACGTAAAACTCATTTGGGGAAGACATTATAAATTTATGATAAAATAATAAATAATTAAAATGAAAAGAAATTAAATAATAATATGAAATTATGATGATATTGAAAAATAGAAAAAAATTTGAATAATATATATAAATAATATAAATAAATTATAAATATAAATTCAATGAGAAATTGATTGGAGATTTGGAGTAGAGAGATTGAGAGAATGAAAGAATGAGAGATTGATTGGTGTGAAAAAAATTAAAGGTTTTAGGGTTATTTATAGTGTAGTTGTGGGGGGAAAATGAAAAAAAAAAAAACTTATAATTATATAAATATAACCGTTGGTGTCAGTTGACCGTTGGCAGCCAACGGTTATAAAATTTTTTATAACCGTTGACTGCCAACGGTTAAATTTTTTTATTTTGTAAAATTTTATTTTAGTCCTTATAATTTATACTTATTTTGGGGGTTTAAATAATTTTACAAAAGACTAAAATGATAAAAGGTAAAAAAAATTTGGGCCCAGGGCCGGGCCTTGGAGGAAGGCCCAGTGGAGGGCCCGGGCCCTCCTCCTTAGGCCTGGTCCCGTTTTGGGACCAGGCAAACGGGACCAGGCCTCCTAGGACCGGTTTTTGGAGCTGGGCTTTTGGGCCCGGTCCCAAATGCCCAGCTCTAATTATGAATATAACTTTTAAATATTATTTTAAAAATAAATTTTTAACCTCAACTCAAAAATATATAATTACATTTAAGTTTAGAACTTGTAAAATAATAAAGAATCGAATCTTATACGGAAGTATGCTTGAGTTTATAGTCAGGCATATCATATGCTTTATATTTAGTTCTTAACTTTGTTTTTGGTATTGTCGCTTTTTTAAGTTTTGGATTGGGTATCCAAGCAACTTCGTGTTCTGCAATTACTCCAAGTAACTTAATATAAAAGAAAACTACTTCTCTTTTCTATTTATGACTTTATAAATTCTAAGTCCCTCACGCAAACTCTATATCTTCTCTCTGTCTCTCTCCCTCGCCTCAGACTCTCAAGTAAGTAATCTCACAGACAGAACAATTTTTTTTTATTATTATTAAAAAAATCATGGGTTGCAATGATTGATCGTAAGTGTTTTAAATGTTTTTGGATTGCAGGTGAAGTAATTTAATCTTTACATGATGGATGGAAGTGCGATGGATGTTGTGATAAATGATGAGAGGAAGCTCCCTTCCCTATCCAGTGGAGAACGGTCTGTGGCCAGTGGAGAGCGGACTGTAGTTTTAGTTGGGCGTACCGGCAATGGAAAAAGTGCCACCGGGAATAGCATTCTTGGAAGAAGGGCTTTTAAGTCCAGGGCTGGTTCATCTAGTACTGTTACTAAAACTACTGAATTGCAGAGAACTGAACTCAAAGATGGCCAGATCATTAATGTTATTGATACTCCTGGTATGGTAACTTGGATTTGATTGCACAGTTTACAACTTTTATCTTGTATTTGAAATTTATTCATCAAATAAACTAATGTGGTGAGTCATTGCAGGACTCTTTGATTTTTCTGCTGAATCTGAATTTGTTGGGAAAGAAATTGTCAAATGTATTAAATTGGCCAAGGATGGTATCCATGCAATCCTTGTAGTTTTCTCAGTGACAAACCGTTTCTCAGAAGAAGAACAAGCTGCAGTACTTAGCTTGCAGTCTTTGTTTGGAAGAAAAATTGTAGACTACATGATTGTAGTCTTCACCGGTGGGGATGCACTTGAAGAATATGAGGAAACATTGGAAGAGTACTTGGGTCGCGAATGTCCAGATCCTTTAAAGGTTTCCTTTTTAACTTAAGTTTGGTTTATTAGCCGTGTTGTTAACTTAAGAAAAATATTGGTTTCAAACTATTTTATTTGGTTAGCATATACATGCTAGGCTGAACATCTTCAAGCTTTACGATTCTTAAAATGTTCATTAATCCTGAAAAAAGGTTAATATAAGCTATTTTTCACATTTATATTAACATTGTTTCAGAATATTCTTGCTTTGTGTGAAAATCGGCGAGTGCTTTTTGATAACAAGACTAAGGATGAAACCAAAAGAGCTAAACAGGTTGGAGAGCTTCTCTCCCTTGTTAACAGGGTCATAGCGCAGAATGGTGGACAACCATACACAGATAAAATATTTGCTGAAGTGAAGGTGAGTTTGTTCACAATTTTTTTTTTTTTTTTTTTAACTCATGCAGTTCACATTAAATATGTCATGAAATGTCTTTATTTAATATGCAGGAGGGGGCTATGGAACATCATGAACAAGTGGAGGTTGATTCCCTAAAGGGATATTCAAAACGAGAAGTTGCAGAGCTGAAGGAGCAAATAGAAAGATCATATGAAGATCAACTGAAACAAAGTAGTGAGATGGTAATCTTGTTGATCTCTGTTCATTTATTGATTTATCATGTGCATTTGCAGTCAGATATTCTAAGTTGTATACAAGATGGTAAAGGTGTAATTGTGGCATTTCTCTGTACTTATGGAGAACACCGCCCCTAGAAAGATTAAATTTCTTATGCACCTCTTAAGAGGCTTTAACTTACCATTTCATTGAAGAAAACACTTTTATATATAAAGCCCTATTTTCACATACTCTAATTTAATGACTATAACTAGTTGAATTTTTCATAAAGGTTTTGTAGAGCATTTTGACTTTCAATGAATTAGAAGCAATAAGAGTGTCTGCCGTTGTTTGTTCATATTGAATTGCACCCTATTCCTTATCTTTATTGTCAGCATTGCTATACTGTATTACCTGATCTTTATTGCCAGCATTGATTAACAATGGTTGTAGGATGTCAGTGGTTCTCCAACTGTATAAAATTTAGGGATGCCATTTTACTTGGGAATGGTCTCCAATTGATAAATTTGGCAATGTTTTAGCTAATGTCTTATCTTTTTCATTCATCAATAATATCAGCAGTATTTGTATTATATTATTATTTAAGGACTTGATGATCCACGTTGATGTTTTTAATAGCATAAGTTGAAGCATAGAGACACTAGTAAGCTTGAAAAGCAATTGGCGGAGAAGCAAGCTGCCCGATTAAAGGCAGAAGAACACACAGGCAGCTCAAATGAAATCAAACGATGAAATTCGTAAGCTTGAGTGAATCTTGAGAATGCAAATAGGGAGAAGGAGAGGCTTCGTAATCAAGTGGAGGAGGTCGAAGATTGTTTCATTCTTTGAACAATCTCAACTATTTGTGAGCACAGTATGTTCAGTCGCGTGAAGAACACAAAGATTATTTTATCTTACCCTGATGTCAATATGTTTATATTGCAAATATTTGTCGTCTTAGCTTGAATAATTGTTATACAATAAATTAGAGTACAAAGCTTTTACAAGAGACGCCAAGCTGACATGACATTAGCATGTGGGCCACGGTACTAATCCGCCAAAAAAAATAAAAATTTCAAAGCAAAATTTCCCCCAAATTTCGATAACCTTAAATCAAATTCCCTCCCAATTTAACAAACCCTAAATCATATTCTCTCCCAACCCAAACCATCAAAATTTCTGATTCCCCTAATAAAATCTCTCACTGTCAAAATTCCAGCCAACCCCAAAAAACCAAAAAAAAAAAATTTGAGTGGGGAAGGAAGCAATTGGAATCGAAGATGGAGATGTTGATAGCATTGATGACCATAGCCGTAGAGTAGCAAAAAGGAAAAGGGAAAGAGAAAAAGAAAGATGAGACTGAAATAGAGAATTTGGCTACCATTCTAAAAGAAAAGAGCGCAAGAAAAAGTACACACATCTTACTCTTTATTTTCTTTGATGTGATTATGATGATACTTGATGCCGCCTCTAATTAATTGCACCTTGTCATAGTTGGAATGTTTTCCAATGACTTTAATATGCTAAAGATAGTCTAAATTTGATATGAAAGGTGACATTGTCGCTTTAAAAATTGCTTTAGAATTGAATGTGGTATGTTTTTGGAATCCAACAATTATAGCATCTACATACAATGTTTAATCCTTCGCAAGTGCAAGATTTGCAATCGCAGCATAGTGCACAAGTAAGGGTTGATCACACAAAGACTAGAGGTGCTCTCGCGATTCTAGTAACTATGCCTTAATGAATCAAAATGAGAATTGAAATAAAGAAAACATATAAATGACATTAACGTAAATCTAAATCTAACTATATACAAAGAATCTTATGGCTCTAACTCCATCATAATTATTAGACTACATGTTCATCATCAAGCTATCGTTCTCCCCACTCCATTCTAGGGTTCGTGCATCATCGGGTTCAACCTAGTACTTTTATTATTCAAACTAGCTAGTGGCGTATAGCCTAGTCTAAACAACGAAAGAACCAATTCGCATAGACACAAATAATCTATTCACAAAGCTAATCAAGATAGGCATGGCGTCTCTTGTTTCTAAGGTATTACCGCAACCATTCGGAATAACTAAGTGTTTCCTTCAACTAAACTAGTTAGTGGCATATATAGCCTAGTTTAGTAATGAAAACCCAGTAAGCACAAGACAATCTTATAGACAATAACCAATCTATACCCGAGTAGGCTAAAATCAATCATTCCACACCCAATCTTGTCTCACACAATCAATTAACTAAGATCAAGGTTGATCAGGCCCTAACATCAACTAAAGATTGAATTAAATGCAATGAATGAATCTAGAACATAATAGGATAGATCAAACAAATAGATTAACAATAAAACACAAGCTTCAATTAGATTACATCAAATCTCTAAAAAACAAAATACAACATAAAGGAAAAGAAACAACAACACCTAGAACCATAATCATGAAGAATAAAAGAGGAGGAGAGGAAGAGAACCTTCTCTCCTCTCCAATCTCCACCTTTCCAAGAAGCCCCAAATGTATTCTCTCCCTAAAATGTGTATGTAAAACCTATAACTCCCTAANGGAGATGATTTATTGTCATCTCGATGTTTTTATCTTGATATAAATAATGTAAATGATAAATATTTGTGAAATACCTTTGGAAGCTTCCACCCTATAAATATGTTTTGATTGTGTAATTTCTTAAAGTTTGTAAATTATAAGTTTGGATCCTGCGTGACATTTTATATGCATGTTTTGGATATTATTATTATTATCCTTATACAGATTTTTTCTAAATATAACTCGTTCTCCAGACATGTATCCTCGGGATTCTCATTGAGAGATATTAAGAGGATACCTGACTGGAGGGGGGTTTTACAGTGCACTTCTACTTTGGACTGGTAGCGATTCCAACCTCAAATCGAAGAAGCCTCCAATGTTGGTATAAAATTTTATATCCTTTGATTTGGTTAATTTAAAATAATGTAAATTGGGCATAAAGATTTTGGTTAAGGTTTGCAGATATAATTAAAAAATTTTAATTTCCGTAGCGTTTTATGGATCCATTAACCTACAATAATTAGACAAGAAGATGAAGAATATAACTTTGAGGATGATAATACTGAAATACAAAATGTTTCGTGTCAATAAGCTTTAAACATGCTTGAAAAGATAGAAATATTTTGGTTTCAACAAGAAAGTGTTCATGTTAGTGAGTTATTACGTACTTGCAAGTTAAAAGATGTGATAACAATTCTAAAGCGTAAATCATTATCTTAAATAACTTTAGATAAATATTTTATTTTATCTTGAACTTTAATATAATGTTGTATATATTTTTTGTAATATGCAGATAATTATTACTATGTGGAGGCAAGTTCTTAAGACGAGATCTAGAAAAATTATAACTTATTACAATGTGGAGTTTATTCTTATTTTTAACTAGTCAAAGTTGGGACCAAAATTTTTTATGACTACATGGAGATTATTCCTACATAGAGTATCACTATAGAGAAATTGTATCATACTTCCAAAGTGGCTCTATCTCTGATTATATTGTAATTGCGTGATATGTCTTTTTGTATGCGTTTCTCATGCATTTCATTGATCCGATTCCGTTGATGATCTGTGCTGCGTCGAAGTTCAGGTAGATTGATGCAATCTGATTTCATCCCACGTTGTATATGTGTCGGTGTTAACGTGTTATCCAATAGTGTAACCATTTCATTTGTTACACCAATTTGCGTTGGTAATTTCATTGAAAACAATGAGAATATAATGAAATGTGTCATAAGTTCAAATTAACCTGATTTTTACTTAACTAATTTGGATTAAATAACCTGGTCAAAGACTTAATTAATACGTAGTCACTACAATGAATAAAATAATTTAATCTCATGGATTCTCATCCTGGGTATAGATATAGTCGATATGTAGATTCTCATCCTCAGTATAGATATAGTCCGTATGATCAGTAATTCTCATCATTAAGGACATTTCCTCTGAAGCTCCTTTGCAATCGATATGCTTGGCATTGGTATCCTATCAAAATCCCAATACTATAAATAAATCAACATGATAAATACTTAGTATTCAATAAACATTAAAAATCGACCAACCAATTGTGTTTTTGTTGGATCATTGTCAGGAAAGGTCAATTCTGGAGGAGTAGCGTACGTTAGAGTTGAGAAGACTACGAGGAGAAGTATCATGAAAAGGGTAGCAACCTTAACTTTAGCCATCTTTTGCTTTGGGGTGAATTAACAGTGTTTTGAGATACAAAGGAAAAAGAATTTTGAGGCCAGCGTGTGAACTCTAAATTAGGATAATATAAAGTTGAGAAAGAAAAAAGAATAGGATAGATTCAAGGTGTACCAATGAACTAAACGGAAAATACTTTGGGTGGATTCTAATTAACTCAAGGCTGAGCCAGAAAATGTTAGGAGACCAAAATGTAATGTTATATGAAAGAAAGGGCCAAAGCATTAGCAATTACATATATGGGGACCAAATTGTTCGGTAAAAAACTAAGGGAGGCCAAAAAGAAATACTGAAATTTATCTTTATACTTTAAATTTTTATTTTTATTTTTTAATTTTTTTGCATGATGGGATGCTACAAGTAATCAATTATTCACAACAGAGTAAGATGAAAAGAAAAGATATAATAGTATGGAATGATAATTAATATAAGCTTGTACAATGGATTAAAAAACATTAGCATCTAAAAAAGTTTGGAGGTCTAGTATTAATAGATAAAATAATAAAACAAAATTATTGGTAAACTCGCTTTTAGTTATAATACCAATACCATTCTAAATTATGCAATCATTTGTTTATTTAAATAAAAAATATATTGTTAAAAAATCAATTAAAATTTGAGTGTAAATATCCTTCTTTTTGTTTTTCGTATCCCATCATTATGAAAATAACTTTTAATATATTTTAAAAATACATTTTAATCTCAAATCAAAAATTATAATTACATTTAAGTTTAGAACTTGTAAAATAACAAAGAATCGAATCTATACGGAGTATGCTTGA